ATTCAGATCTGAGCCCATAGTATATAATTTCTTCCACTCTCAGACTGTAACCAAGGTACACTTGCATTTATCAACTATCCCATTATCAAATGGTTAACCATTTAACACCAAATGCAAGTTGTTGAAATGGCATACATATGCTCAAGAGTATAGCAATCCCCTAGTGGTTAAGCATCGGCACAAACAAGTGCTCATACTCATGATGAGTAGTGAAGATATGACTTCAACTTAGTAGTGTTGAAGTTATAGCAATCTGAAAGTTGCTAAACTTGCAAACCCTAAAACTTTGAGGTGATGCATGACTGATTGCTCTGGTGCTAATTCAGATGGAGGATTGTTGACTTCAGGACTACAATTTGGGGGTCATGTTTAATGTAAAAAGACTTGGCTGCATTTGATTGCGGTAAAATTTTCTTCTTAAGTCTAAACTTTGAGGTTTAGGTAAATTCTAAATAACAGAACACAACATATGATTCATGGTTCATGATTGAAGTGGTGCTTGTCACATAACAAACTCTAAAACTTATAAGTGACATTAGTTAGTCTCAAACTCTCAATGCAGCTGCAGTCTACCCCAAAGAACCTACTAATTTGTGCTTCAGTTGAGTCAATCTTCTCCCTCGAGAAGCTTTCATCAGCTTTTCAGCCTCCAATTATATAGCCAGTCATTGTCATATAGGGTTTTTTTTTTCTGTCTTTGAGAGATCTTGTTTCAAGGAAGGAATCAATCACTTGAGTACTGGGTAAATGGATGTGCTATCGATATTGAAAAGTCTCCATTGTGATTGACATATCTTTTAGGGTTGGAAACTTATCATCTAGTTTGAAGCCTTTGAAATTTAAAGAGAATGGAAAGCGCTGGTCTAGGATAAAGGATCTAAATCTTACCAAAAGTTGAGATGATCCTGCAGTTTCTTGCAGTGGTCCAAAACCATTAAAAACATAAAGATGGTGATCTGGGTAGTGGGCAACTCTACACTTCTTACCCATCTAATTGCACTTGTATATTCAAATTGTAGAGGAACATAATCATACAGGATTGTGTAGTGGAGATAAAACTTATTATAGCAATGATCATAGATAGTAAAAGTCTAGAATAGAGACGTAACCACTTATAATAATTATGCAAGATTAAGGAAAAACTCATGGCCACTAATTTATGCCTTTTGCAAATTATTTTTAGATTAATATATCACCTTTAACATGATAGAACTTAAGAAAACATGGAACTTGCAAGAT